CACTTCCCGCGTTTCTGAGCGCGTGCCCGAGCCCGGTCTCTTTCGCTGGTGTGTTGACGATGGGATCGAGCTTCTTGACGGTCAACGAGCAGTGGGAAGCTTACCTCGCCAACGCGGAGCGCACGTACAAGGAGCTTGAGGAAAAAGTGAAGCTGCGACTTGGCGACTTGGCGCACCAGGCAAAGGAGATGATGAGGGACGGCCGATGGAAGTCGGACGTGTGGCTTAGCCAGTTAGACTGGACGCCAAAGCTTGCAGGTCAGAGCCGAGGTATTCAGGTAGGCCTTCAGTGTGATATTGGTGGTACACATGGGCTAAACACCCATGCTAGACCAAGGTCCCCGCTTGGTACGACGTCCTCCTCAGAAAAGGCCCTTTCGCAAGGCCCCTTCGTGTAGAAGTGCTGCCGCTCCTGCTGCGTGTCAAATGGGATGGACTACCTATGGTGCGTACGGAAGAGCACCGCTGGCACATTATATCCAGCACGGGAGAGGTTTGCCTGCCTGCGTCAAGTAACAGAGTGGCAGACGAGATACTTGGCCATACACTGGGCCTGCCAGCTCTGGACCGAGGAGCCATGGTAACAGACGACGACGAGCTAGCTTGGGCCATCTGCAACAGGTACAAGTCAGATTGGGTGGGACAGCGCATTGTGGACTTGGCAAATAGGATCGTGCAGACGGACGAGGCTGAGATCGAAGGCGACCATTGGCTGCGACAGCTAGATTGGACCCCTACAACGCCGCCGGTGGTGCCATCCAAGCACTATGCCAAATTCGCAAGTCCGAACGATGCTGAATCCACGCGCAAGGTGGAACCCAAGGCAGGATCGGTTGGGCACCGGGTGACTTGGCCTCTGTGGTTTTGGGAACTCGCGAGGCCGAAGAAAGGCTGTCCGCCGGGGTATGTTGACCTCACAGTGCGAAATCGTATTGCGCCTCTTCTTCTGCACTTGTCTTGGCAAGGCTGGCCACTCTTTCACTCGCGCGAACATGGATGGACGTTCCGCGTCGAGCCGAACGCAAAGTTCGAGACTCGTGCGCAAGCACTCGCTTTCAAACTTGTGGCGGACACGTCGCTGCAGACCATGATCAGCGAGGGATATACGTTTTACAAGCTCCCGCACAAGGATGGTGACGAGGCTAACGTCGGGAACCCGCTCGGCAAGACGTTCATGAAGTATGCTCAGGACGGAACGCTGACAAGCCCGGGAGACGAGGCCAAAGATGCGTTGGACATGAACGCGCAGTGCAGCTACTGGATCAGTGCACGCGACCGGGTTCTAAACCAGATGGTCGTGTGGCAGGATCAGCGTGTCAAGGCCGGCCTACCGCAGCCCGTCGAGGAGGGGAAGAAGTGGGGCATCATCCTCCCGCAGGTCATCACCATGGGCACGGTGACGCGACGCGCGATTGAGAAAACGTGGCTCACTGCGAGCAACGCGAAGAAGAATCGCGTTGGATCTGAGCTGAAAGCGTTGGTGCGCGCTCCGGAGGGGTACGCGATCGTGGGCGCCGACGTCGACTCGGAGGAGCTCTGGATCTCCAGCGTGATGGGCGACGCGCAGTTCGGTCTGCACGGCGCGACTGCAATTGGGTGGATGACGCTGGAGGGTACTAAGGCTGCGGGGACGGATCTACACTCCAAAACTGCGAGCATCCTCGGCATCTCGCGCGACCAAGCGAAGGTGTTCAACTACTCGCGGATCTACGGCGCTGGGATGCGTCACGCCATGCTGTTACTACTCCAGTCGAATGCTGGCATGCTTCCCGAGCAGGCGCAGAAGCTCGCGCAGAACCTGTACGCGTCTACCAAGGGTAAGAATACCCACCGCAGCGATCTGTTCGGGCGCAAGTTCTGGTACGGCGGTACGGAGAGTTTCGTCTTTAACAAGCTTGAGGAGATCGCGTTGTCGGATCGGCCGCAGACACCCGCGCTCGGGTGCGGAGTGACGTATGCGTTGTCGAAGGAGTACCTGCCCGCTAAGTTCGGCGACGACTACATGCCTTCGCGCATCAACTGGGTTGTCCAGTCTTCTGGTGTCGATTACCTGCACCTCCTGATTGTCTCGATGGAGCATCTCATCAAAAAGTACAATATCCAGGCGCGTTACCTTATATCCGTTCACGATGAGCTGCGGTACTTGGTCAAGGAGGAAGACCGCTACCGAGCGGCGCTGGCGCTCCAGATTGCCAATCTCTGGACCCGCAGCTTGTTCGCCTACAAACTGGGCATGGACGACCTTCCGCAGGGAGTGGCGTTCTTCTCCGCTGTGGACGTCGACAGGGTGCTGCGTAAGGAGGTCGATATGCCATGCGTGACACCCTCGCAGCCCAACCCCATCCCGCCGGGCGAGAGTTTGGACATCACCAAGGTCCTAGAGAGGACTAATGGCGGCTCTCTGTGGCCCGACGGCACTCCAATGGTTCAGAACGACGGTATCAGCAATGTCGGTAACCTGGTTGGGTATCGTCAGCCAAACTGCCTTGTTCATCGGGCTGACAGCGCTGCGTGGTTGCAAGCGCAGGCCAGCTCCGAGATCGAGGAGATCAAGCAACTCGCAATGGACCCCAAAAGGCACAAAACAGCCATCCAGAAAAGGCGCCCGGGCAGACCGAACAAGCCGAAGGTTGGTGGCCTTGCGAGTTTGAAGAAGGTGCGCGCACTGGGCGATGGAAACGGCGTAGACTGGAACAACACCATCGAGCAGCTGCTGAAGTCTTTGAACATCCACTGAGGACTTGCTCACATGCTATCTGCGCTAGGTAGCCTATCTTTATTGTACAGCTCATTTGTTGCGGTATGTTTAGCTTCAAGTAATGTCACGCACGTCGTTTCTCATATCGCGCCGTGGGTAGTCTGCGGTCGTGACGTTCCCGCGCGAAGGCCGACGGCCGGTGCTCTGACGGCGCAGAAGGGTTCAAACGGCGCCGCCATTGTTCGCCGGGCGTGGCGGACTGCGACTTGGAGCTTGCGCGCCGTAAGTGTGTACGTGTTCGGGGGTGGGAAGGCGAATACGGAGCATCATCCTGCGGCGTACGTGGGCGGCGGGGGGCCTGGGGTGGGCGATGCTCATCGATGATCACACCGTCCAGGCTTCGCGTGGACGCGGCGGGAGCCCAATATAGCAACTCGCGCCGTCACGCGGCGTCCTCGAGGCACAGGGACGACGCGCCATGCGGCGCGCGCGATGGGCAAAGGGCGCACGGATACCCCTTATGGCAATGGGCGCGTGTCCCAAAATGGCAGGTCGCGCCCCGCCGGCGTGGGAAGGCGCCCGGCAGACGGGATCCCGAGCGATAAGGCGGGTTCGCCATCACCGCCGTGCGTCGGGGCTGCGACGACCGCATGACTCGACCGCGCCCCCGCCCGCGGGCACCATTGTTTGGCGTGCAGGTGCCGCGGTCCCATACAAACACGACATGACTCGTATAAATCCACCCGCCCGCCGGGTGGGCTCCGTATCTGCCTCCCCGCCCCGCCTCCCGCCCCGCTCGCCTCCGTGCATCTGCCCGCCGGTCCAAATCCAAACCCCCTCGCGTAGCACTTCAGTGTCACACCTTAGCTACTACACTTGTCACCATGCAGTACCCACCCACCCCGTCGTCGAGTGCCACGCGCGTTCCCACCACTCCCGTGCCCAACGCGCCATACATGAGCCCGAAGGATTTACCTCCATCCCCTGTCACGCCGACGCGCATCCTTTCCGGTCACGCCGCGCCGACCGGTGCCCTCCAGATGTACCCGATGGGTTACCCCGCTGCTCCGGGCTCTAGAGCCACCTGTATGCCAACTTCCCATTTATTTCCCGCTCCGCCTGTGTTGATGTTCGTCGGCGCGTTACCGTAGATGGCCTCATGACTCCGCCCACAACCCCAGAGCGGGCACGCGGCCACCGTGGCTCTGCAGGCTATGCCGTTCACCCGGTGTTCAACCCGCGGACGCTGTACCTCAACGTCGCGATGCCGCTCTCGAACATTGACCCCCGCGCCCTGCGCAACGCCCACGAGAGCTTCACAATTCCTCCCGCGAACGCCGTCCACATCAATGTTCTGGGCGTGTTCCGGTTCGAGGTGCGCGCCCGCCAGACGGGCGGCGTGACAGTGCGGGACGTCTTCGAAGGCATCCTGCAGGCCATGGCGCAATCGGCCTCGCCTGAAGAGGCTAGATGCTTCGCGCCGGAAGTGCAGCAGAGCGTCGCGAGCACACGCACCCCACGCCGGTACAAATACCTCGGCCCCAGGCTGCTTTTCAACGCCATCGAGGTGACGCACGTATCCGGCGGCATCGTCTATTGCGATCTCCACCTCGCCAACGTACCCCAGTGAACTGCTATCGCCTTCACTACACAAAAGTCTCAAGCTCTCCCATTTCGCACCTCCATTCCCTGGTCTACCTCTCACCGTCTCCGAACCCGCTTGTCCCCGCACGCCGGACGCTCCAGCAATCTACGTCTCTTGTATTATCCTGGACTTTGTTCTTCTGGTCTGAGATCAATGCACAACCCCCCTCATGTAGCTATTTCTCCATCTCGGACATATCTCTGTATAGCAGTAGATTCGCCGGCCCCCTACTCACTATGAACCCTCTATGGCTTATACCTCACGCGAAGTTAATGGATACCACATTGTACAATCGTCGCCATTTGGAGTAGAAACGCGTGTCACGACCAGGTCTCAAGATCTCATTTGCGAGTCGCCGCCGTGATCCCACCAAAGCATCTTGTTAGTGCTTTGCCTTTCAGTTCCGAGTCGGCGCGCGTTAGGCTAATACTAGATGACTGACGCCCGTCTGGGGCACCAGATAGTCCGCATCCACGCGTTCCCCTTTGTAGCTGCCTCGCGCCCTCACCTCAAGTCCGAAGACACATGTGCGAGCCAGTCATTCAACCGCTGAGATTCTCAACGCAACAGGCACAACCCTCCAACGGTCAGCCACTGCACGTCATTCCATTTGCTTTGGTAGGTAAATATCAACTTACTTTTGAACCTATCTTGTCGTCCTCCATAGCTCAGTTGGTAGAGCGCGTCACTAGTATCTTGCTATGAAAAATGACGAGGTCAGTCGTTCGAGTCGGCTTGGAGGAAAGTTGTTTTGATCTTTTCTTCTACCTGACGAGCAGTTGCCGTCTCTCTCTTTTTTTTTTTCGGCCCTCAACAGCCCTCAACTTCGTAGTATCTAGTCGGCGGCGAGTTACCTTACCAAGTAAGTAGGGGGTTGCCGGATTGAGTGGCCTAAGCACCCATTTCGCATGCCTTATCAGGCAGGTGTCGACTTCTTGGCCCTGCCGACTGGTGACCGGTCCATGATAGTAGCTTGTATGCAACGTTGTTTCACGGCGGCTGCCCTCACAGAGTGAAGCTTCAACGGAGGCCAGGATGCACACTTAAGCTTGTAATTACACAACCATGTCTGACATCAGGCAGCAACAAGACCCGACAAATGTGACTGCTGTGGAAGCTGTCAATGGGCCATCCATGCCGCCTCCTAAAACTCCAGAATGCACACGTCCAAACCCTTCCATCATCCATTTGATGCTGTCCAACAACATGGAGTCTGTGAGCATTGCTCAATCTGACAGTTTGCATTTGACGGAGTTGAGGTATACATCATGCAAGATATATTTTCAGCTAGCTCTTCTGATTGTCGCATGCTAGGATGAGGGATGTGTCCAGTGTTGAACTTCGACTATTTGGGTGTTACATGATGGGATAGGACTTGTCCTTACCCGTTATGGACTTGTGTTCTACATTGCTACATATTACATACATTCTTTACGGACTTGATCCAGACCTGTAGGACATGATTGATTCTAGATCTTTATGGAACATTCCACCGCTTTCCAGCATGTTCCAGCACATTCCTTTCCATGACATCATTATGACATCATGTTCTAGGACTGTCCAGATTCTCTTCCGGTCCTGTCCAGTCCTTTCCAGTACGTTCCATCCATGGTGCAATCATCGCATCATTGCTCATTGCACCATTACAATGTCATGCTGCTACGCTTACTGTACGATCATGTGATGGCTCTCTCATGTGTATATATACTGGGCTGGATGCCCCTGTAATGTAACGATCTCTCCTCTCATTCTACGCCTCTCTGAGTCTTCCCTCTCAGTAGCTTTGAGATCTGTTGTAAGTCCTCTGTTCTATTGGAGTGTTTGTTTGCTCCTTTGCAGTTTTGCCTTCAGCTGCACCACACCACTCCTTGTTCAACACATCCGTGACTGCACCTGCCTTCAAGTATGAAAAAGTGGTTTGTTCAGCGGGACACACCTGGCGTAGTTCAGTCATGGTGGTTCGGCTAAACACAATGTTTGCCGTAATTGGGAGAACATTGGTCAGGCATGCATTGGCGCCGAAGATCCCTTCGCTACTCAATGCTGCCCCATTTCCGTGAGTCACGTGCACACCTGGTGCCCAGCCGAGTCGCGATATACAGTACACTAGAGCACAAATAACGAACGCCGCGCGATGGATGTTGAACAAGGAGTGGTGTGG